CAAACTAAATAATATACTTTGATCTCAATAGATTTTTCTACATAAGCAGAGGTAAAAATAATAACTACCACTATTTTTGTGGTTTTGCTGTAGAGTTTTAAAAATATGATATTTTTTCTTAATTCAAATGGTTAAAAATAAATATTATTCATTAATTTTAGAGTCGACATTTTAATTATACCCTATGAAGGGTTAATAAATACCTATCCCTATAAACTAAAAKGTGATTTGTTCAATTTAATTATTAGTTTTAAACTACAAGGAATGTATTTGTATTGCTTTCTATTGATTTATGACGTCATATTGAAGTATTTGTTTTATGTATTAGAAAACGTTATATATATATCAATATGTACTTATAAGGATTGTTAATAGCATTTTTMAAGTTCTTACATTTATTTTCTTTGCACCACTTTTAAATAGGTAGATGGTGTATCTAACATATATTACACGATTCAAATTAATAAGAATGTAATAAGTCCTTTATTCGATTATCAAATAACATTTCAAACTGAAATCGAACAAGTAGTTATGTACATTAAAAATTAAGATATGAAATTGAAATTAAAAACTTTATGATACAGGAATTTACATTTCACTAAAAAAAAAAAAAAAATTAAAAGAACAATATATATTAAATTATTATATTAAATGAATTTTTGTATTTTGATATAACTGAAAAAAAAATACTTATAAAATGTTATTCCAAATTGTTCAATGTTTTTGAAACGCAAAAATAATAAAAAACTAATAAGTATTTTCAATAAATTTTCATTTTTATTTTTATAATTCATGAATCGTTAAACTGCGTTTTGGAAAGTGTAGCTATGTGGAATATTAACCATAATTATACTCATGAAATCATACTGGTTAAATCATAGGCGTAGAAAAGTCTGAAACTAATTTATTTATTGATTATATTGTTCAATAAAATCATTTTGAATTTTATTGTATGATAGAAAATCATTGAGAGACTCAAAATTTAATGTTATATTCACAGTTCAGACGAGAACCTAAAATAGGCACACGTTTGCAGTTTTTATCGAATATCTTGATGAAAATAACACTACTAGGAATTTATTGTTGTACCTACGAAAAAAATTTAAGATTTTATTATTAATTATAATTTGCACTTTGAATACATGTGAATATGTGATAGTAATTTCATGATGTATAGGTAGGTAAATCGTACGTTTTTATCATTATTCATGTTAAAATTCACTTTCGTTCACTTCAATRCCTGTATAAGTACTTTTCAAGATTTTCAAACTCAATATTAATCATAACGACAGTTTTTAGTGTCAAGACACGTCATTGTACAGTTCAATAAGTGTAGAGTACCTACATAAACTAAATCATATCACGTAGGCTAATAGGTATAGTCTATGGAAAAGACGTACAGGGTGAAATATATATTATATTTTATGACAACGTATATTTCAGTTCAATGTTTAGGAGCAGAAAATKTTTATTAAAATGTTGATATGATGCGAATATTGTTTATTGAAAAAAATTAAATAGATTAATTGTACGCATTAAACACTATATAATTATAGATGTAGCACGAACTTAAAGCTTGTCAATAAAAAAAAACTTTCAATTTGACAATGGATATAATATGTTTAAAAAAATGTTAGTATAAAAAATATATGTTTTAGTAAAAATGTAGTCTTAATTAAAACCAATTTTGATTTTCTAAACACAAAAATTGCCATTTATTTTACAATCATGCTATAATTTTCATAGTGTAGTCATGTAAATGAAATTCCCTGTATAGTATATAAATGTAGATAGTCAGGTACATAAAACGTGCAGGGAAATCTCAAGGGTGCCAAGGATTGCCTTGTGAGAATACTGCTGTAACACCCTCATTATTCTGAATCGATTGGCGTTGATTGTAGATGTACCACACGTCCACACACCTTGCCGAACAGTTAGGTAGGTCGTACGTCGGATGATGTCGTCACGTTATTAATGACTATCACGTTATTTTGCGAATCTATCGATGCATAAAACATTATGAAGGTAAAGTTTTATTTTCAATTAAACTCGTATATTTTTATTTTTAAGGCAACATCAGGCGGCGATACTGTTTGGACACAACAAAAAGAGGTTGCATTGTAAATTGCTGTGAACAAATGAGTGCAATAACATTTAAATATTTTAGAATAATTATAGTGGGTTAGTTTTATCTGATGTATATACAATAACAGAATCAATATTGATCGCTGGTGAATAATTTATCTTAAAAAATTGATTGCTAAGAAAAGCTATCGATAGTAGATAGTATGATCAATTTTTAAGTCTAATACTATCGAYTACTTGTTAGTTTAAAAATCAAAATCGTTCAATACACGAGGATATGATATTCATTAGTATACTTATTTATATTATCTTAAAKTTGAAATCWATGCAAGATATCTTTTATAAAGGTAATTATTGGAACATTTAAGTCAACGTGTACAATGTTGGAATGTTTTTGTACGCTTTGTATTTAAGTTTGTCATCCGTTAGAATTTCAGCGATCAATTGATAAAGGAAGAAGCMTAAAATAATAATATAATATATTTATGGTACCGTTAGTTGCTCACTCAACGTGTATACGAAAATAAAATAACTTGTATTGGAAATATTGTTAATTGTCACATTAACAATATTTTTTAAGTACATTTAATAGAAAGGTTCGATTTAGGGTGGTTAAAGGTATCCCCGCAAAAGGTTGTTCAGTAAAATACGGAATGCACTTATTCATATATGTATGTGAAAAACTCACTGACTTATGACCGRTATTGGATCTTGTAACTTATCTTATGGCACATTCGCTTCGATTCAATCCTGAACGTGTCCTTTGAATTATTTATTTAGTCGGTGATACGTTAAACCTATTCGGATTATCCTGTCGACGACCAACGTCTTTTTTGTTTACCGTTTTTCAAATACGATTTCTTTTTCTGTAATTCCATTTCAACAACCGTATCTATCTCCGTATAATATATTAATATGTAGATATAGGCATATAAAGTATTTGAACCATGTTCAGTTTTCGATCAGCTCCACTAGAATTTATTGTCGATTTTTGTCCAAAAAAACTCTCGATGGATTGAAATTGCAAAATTCTAGTACTCTTATATTAGCTATTAATTAATTTAATAATAACAACAATCACGAAATAATTACCATCATGGTGATAAATTAGTTTTTATTAGCAACGACGGTTATGCGGAACAGTGTAAGAAAATAAGTTCTGTTTCTTATTTTTTTTTTTTTTTAAAATAATATGCCTACGACCATCCTGTCTTATGCCACACACACTGCGTATACCTAACTAATATTAAAATGTACACGATTTTCGAGGAAGAAATTATAATGTATCGGTTCAATATTGAGTGTTAAATAAGTTACCTTTGTAGTATACCGATGATATTACCGACCCGTATTGGACTTAAACTTCGATACGAATTTCTGTCATTCGGTATCGATAATATTTTATCGAATTTATTTTATTGAAACTTATGTAGACCCCAGATGACGTAAATCAAACGCAAATAACGCAATTGTATGATACCTAGTGCTCACCTGATACCCATTACGATGTGTTGTGCGTATACATGATATATATAGTACACTATATTATTAATTATTATACTATTCGTAGAAAACGTGATTCATAACCACGATTAGTTGTTACGCGTTATACTAAACGATAATACGAAATTCGACGATTTGTGATGTATTATATTGGTAATAATTACTATGCATAATATATTCAATATTATGACCCGTTGGCATGGAAAAACTTTCGTACGCTGTGTATACGTGAATAGGTACWCGTATGTAACGTAATTATTATAATTAAAACAAGTGTACCTTGTTATACCGCGGTGGTCTTACGTATGTGTTATTATTATTATATTTTACACAAAGTGTGACTACGATGATCATTAAAAAAAATCTTAATCATTTTTTATCTCATTATAATTTTACATTTATCTCATTTGTTTTAACCGGTGCGTTACGTCCGCGTAACAATATCTATATCCTTCGCATATAAACTAGATTTGTCATGTGATGACTATAATATCGGGCCCTGCTGAAAAGTCCTCGAGAATTTAGTTTTATTTAAATACCTATTGCCGTAAGGTACCTAGTGTTTGAAACGATATTTTATTGGATTTTTATTTATCTAAATTTTAAAATTCTAGAAAAATCTTATTTACGACTAATTATAGAAATATCTTGAATTTCTATATTTTCATTTTATCATCGATTGTTCTAATATGATAATACTTTATATGTTTATAACACAGGTATACTTTATGTCGTATAATATAATGATAGTTATATTGATTAATTGAAATTAATTTTAATAGAAGTAATCTAAATATTATTAATATATAGTTGATAATCATAAATTATTATGATATTACCTATTTATTACATTAAAAACTAATATTACAACTCATATTTTCAATTTTAATCAAAATATTAATATTATACTTCCTAAGCATTATTGTTTATACATATAATAATTTTTCAAAATATATCTGAAAGACATTTTAAGTAGATTTTAAATTTGTTTATTTGTATTCTTATTTAAATTCAAATAAAAAATATATTTTCCAAGATTAAACAAAAAATAATTAATTAATTGGTTTTAGCTGAGATATAAATATGCAGATAGCTGTGTATAAACATAATTTTAAGTTAATGAATTATTCTTAGAATAAGTCAGATACTTATACATTATTTTGATGGATATTTTAAATACATACCTATATATAAGTTAAAATTATGAAATTAATTTAACTACCTATAGGTCAGATAAAAGTTTTAAAATATTAATTTTTTAACTTGTTAATGGCCTACYTTTTATAATACGATTATAATAAACATAATTATTTTCGTTATTACCTACAACGGCTACAATAACKGTCGACCGAAATCGTGTTTTATAATAATAATGATCAATTAATATAATTTTGGATCTTTTCGTTTTGCAGCACGTTAATGCGTATGTCGAAGAGTCATTGTACGATTTCTACAAATTCGACGAAATTCTCAGGCAAGACAGGTCGACGTGTGCGAGGAAAATGATATGTCAAATTGCGGCTACACCTGAAAATCAACTCAACCAAGTGGAGACCAATCTGCTCAAACTGCTCAGGTAAGTTCTCGATAGTGCTTGCAACAGTACGTAATATAATATTATAATCCAAAACGCAAATTATATTAATCATAAGTTCATAACACATCTCTCGATACCTAGTAATAATAAATATATTGATATGCTGAATTGCTGAATGTAATAAAGCAGATATTAAGTGTGTCATGGTTTTTTTTTTATTATTTACATCTTGTAGATGATCACTTTTTGAAAATATGTAGCAACATTTTAAGATGTGTTAACATTATAATAGAAAGAACAAAAATTGAAATAATTAGTAAAAATACAAAAACAGTTATTATTATTGAATAAAAAACTAAAATAAAATGGATTTTATTTTAAAAGTAGCATGCTTATATAGTATAATAGTATATGATACATAATAATTATACTTACATATTTGTTGATTAAACTGTAATTCAATATCAGTTAACATAATGTTAAAAATTGTAATTTGAAATTTATTGAAAAGTTTTAAAAACTAGTTACAAAATGTTGTCGTAGGTATATATTAGCATATGAAATAAGTCATCAGCTATTTTGAGCGATAACACATAGGTAATAGGTATAAAATATTATTTTAGTACTATATTTTTTAATTTGACTGTTTCGGTGAGAACGGAAGATGGGTTTCAGACGAAATAGATTGGGTCCGAGGATACATTATTGCACTATCTGTGCACGACGGTGTGTGAGCAAAAAAAAAATTTAAATAAAACTTTGTAGGCGTCGATGGCAAAAAAAGTCATTCGGATATTTGTGGAATTTATAAAAAATTCTCTTTTGAAAAATAATATATGAATTAAAACTATATATAAGTATTTATTAAATAAAATCTAATGTCAATGACCTCTCGATTGTTCGATAAAATATATTATATTATATAAATATATTTACCCTCATTTATGGAACATTTAAATTCTTAATTTATAAAATGAGATATTAAGTAAAATAGGTACAAATAATTTATCATCAACTTTATAGTTACATAAGTAATATTATCGTGAAGTGTAATATTGTATTGGTATATTATATTAAGTGTTTACCAACTCAGTACTCATATCAGGAAATAAATAATAATCATCTATATGGTGTAAATAATAAAAAAAAAATCTTTGCACGAAATACAATATTTGTTTAGGAGGAGAGAAGGGGACTTAGTTCTGTATTTGGACAATGACACAGCAAAAATTATAAACATATTACAGAGTTATGACTTTTATAAACCACTTAGTACCTACACTAAATGGTTGAATGCCGTTTGAACTGTCCGTTTTATTCGTTATATGCAACTACAATTAGACTGATAAGAAGGACTAAGTGACAGTATTGTATAATCCGTCTAACCCCTTCTCCCCATACAAACGTCAAACCGTAATGGTGTTATCCAAACGAGATAAATAATTGTTGTTTATCGAACTTTCGGTTAGGTCATAGGTCGTCATATTGCGGATGTCCCTAATCGTAATCCTCTCGGAAAACCACGTCTAACGATAAACCGGTAAAGCTGAGAGTTATTGCGATTTCCGATATTTGATTTATTGGATGATTATAGGATGTATAGATATAATATATTCAGGCATAATCCATCAAATTGCATGAAATATACAGAATTATTATAAATTATAATTAGTTATATTGTAATACTTACTATGTTTGTTGTTCAGTGCGTTTTATCCAATGAACCACCTGGATCAAGGTAAAAATGAGTTCGTGCGGTTAATAATAATTTATCATAGTAGTTAAAAGTAGTAGTTAAAATACATTTTCGAATTACGTATTCTGATTGTCGGTTTCATGTATATATTTTTCCTACTAACCCAATTATTTATTAAATTGGATCGTATTAAAATAATACTATAATAAAAATACGTAATTTGGATTTTTTCAGTCCATTCGATTTAAAATTAAAATTTATGCTGCTCCATTGTAAGTTTTAGGCATTTTGAGTTTGTAATGAGCTGCAATAGGTACGCGTTATGTTAGCCTTGAAGAGTGTACACGTCATAATAATATATTTATACATAAAAACAAAGAATAAGAGGCAAACAACCGTAAAATAAAAAGGGAAAAAAATCGAGCACAAACAGTAAAAAAGTCTGTGTTAATTTATTACAAAAAAAGGAAAGTCCCGAGTCGGAATTGCAAGTATAAAAACGTCTAATTTATAAAAATAATTAGACTTCATTTATATTTTTATTACCACTACATAAAGTAACGACCATAGGGTAGGTAGTAGGTACCTATGTTGTTATTAGTACAAATTAACGTTGTTTTCGTTTTAACACAATGTTTTTCTCCGATAGTAAATGTAATCATTTTTGAATCAAAATTATTTCAAACATTAAAATGCCAAAATGTGATCGATATTCTTCACACGTTTTTATTCCCATGATATACCTATACCAAAAAAAAGTCACTGATCTTGACATTTCAATTTATATTGATTGGGGTTTTRAACTAATTTAATCCAACATTTTGTGAAATGAAACTTGATTGTAGGTCTTAGCTATACCATAGGGTAAAATTTGTATGATATAGGTATATGACTGTATTGATMATTGTGCAGGTTTAAGATATGCATATAAATAGCAATCGATCATAAAATGGTTAGGTATCTAGTGGTTATAAAATCGAGTGGAGATTTTGAAAGAAACATGTGATTAAATATTCTAATTCTGAGGAKCAAATATGAAATACTCTAAAACTATGTAGGTTCAATATATTTATTTACAATAATACTATCAATAAAATAAATTTAATAATAATAAKAAAAAATTAAAAAATCATCGTATCATAATATTCTATGTCTATTTAATTCCCTTGGAATCTGCGATGTTAATTTAGATAATCTAAGAACTCAAATGAAATGGAAGTATATAGTATTTGTCATCAATGGTGGTGCTTAGATATTTATTATATATTTATATATTTATTATGTAATAATAATTCATAATAATATAAACAAATATAGTGCCGTTTATAGTTATTGAACACAAAATATTTAAGCRGGACTTTTTATATCATCTAAATGGTCTGAAGTTGTAGTGACATAATAATCTGGCATTTATCGGTCATGGTTACATATCTTTTTGGGAGACACACACTTTCAACCATTTATATGGTAACGCATCGATTTGGAGCGCACATGAGATTTTCACGATCTGCTCCGAGACGTTTCCACCTTACGTCTTCACCATCTTAGTTGGTACATATTTGTGCAATCATATTGCACGTGTTTATGGAAGTTGCTTAATTATTGATGTATTTTTGTTATATTTTACTAGTATATTGTCTATGTTTTAAGGGGTTTCAACAGGCCAATGATTAAGATTGGATGGAGGCAAAATAAGTTTTATTCTAGGGACGAATCAGCTTGATAAAACTATAGGGTGTCTAAATATTAATAATATAAATTGATTAAAAAAAAAACCATTTGAAATTTTAATTTTTAAAAGTTCAAATGATAGTATTATTGTTCACACGCAAAATAAAATTAACAAATACTTTTTTAAAACTATTAAAATGGCTTTATTTTGAGTCTAGGCATACATTTATATAAATATAAACTGAAAWTGATATTATTTAAATTTTTCAAATTTGGATTAGGCTATTTTTTCTAGTCTTAATAGACGTTATTTTAACAGAACTTTAAATCTAGTAATAGAATGAAAATGTATACATTATACAGTTTATTTTTATGTGTTCAATATGTCTTCAATTTAGTTTTAGATCTATTCTAATATAGTTTGTATGTTTAAAAATTACAAAATTTTTAGATATTTAAATTGATATATAAAAATACTCACGGTATTTTCATATTTAAAAAAAGACAAAATATTTTAGTGATCTTTTTGGATAAATTTAAATTTATAAGTATTTAACTACAACACTTATCCTAATTGCAAAACTGTGAGCCCACGCTTAATAACTTTATAAACTTACATAATTATAACGAACAATTTTGAATTAACAAACRTGATTATAATATAATTTATTATATATTTATTTTAGTATAATAGTGTAAAAATGTATACCATATTATATACTTACCTACATATAAATTATAATATGTATACGCTGTATAATGTACCACTATAATTTGATTTTCTATATTTTCTATTGGTTTTTAAAGTATGATTTAAAATGGAAAAATATATTGTTGTACCTTTAATATGTATTAAACGCAAAAACAAAGTAACAATATAAAACTTGACGAAATTTTTCATTGCAGCCAATACTCTCACCTCTCGCTATCAATATACAAATCACTGTTTATGGCATATTTATCCACTTGAATACAAAATTATACTCAAGTGGGTACAACATAGCGACGTTTGAAACAAAATTGATAATAAATCAAATATACGCGTCAAAATACCATCATACAGGGCCGAAGATATTATCATAATTGAATCGTGAAATTCAAAATAGTTATRGTGGGGTTTTCGTGGCATCAATCCCAATACGCGTTTTATCGTGTGCAAACTTCCGCATAATAATAATGATGATTTATCGTGGGCTGCAGTGTCCAGATATATGTTGGGGGTGAATAGTAGGGATTAGGGTCCGGCTACGTTTCGACCCGACTCTYGAGGGTAGGGGTCATGAGTTTGAATTCAAACGATGAGAGAGAGAGAGAGAGAGTGAGTGAGAGAGAGAGAGAGAGAAAGAGCGAGACTGTGCTGTAGATTCCATATACCTAAAGGTTTTTAGATTTCCAGTAAACCATTAAACAATTCACGAATGCAAAGCGTGAAAAATAAAATACTACAGTGTCTATATGTATATATTTTTTAATATAAAAACATAACATTTCACTCAAAGTTTGGTCTGACTTGTTAGTATGGACTAAAAAACCCTAATTTAATGTTTTCTCTTTAAAATAACTTTTCCATTTTGGCYAAATATCAATCCTACCAAAAATAATATTTGACACTATATTTAAAACTTAAAATAATTTAATGTAATTTATTATTCCATGTTATAATTTTACATAT